ACTCTATGACTTAATTGATTCCAACCCTGCCCTTCCATCATGAACGAAAACAATGGCATAGGAAGTTGCAATATTATATTAGTCCAAGATTTTGAAGTGCATCGGAGTCATACTCAAACCAAGGTTGCAGTTTCAAACCCCATACTCTCACCATTTGCAACAAAAAATGAATTCGGGGGAAACAGAGAAGGTTTTGATGCATATTGTATCATAATGGCACATGAATATATGGTCTGAGGAAATAGCAGATGATCCATCAAGGGTAGATGTATTCTTCAATCTGCATGCTTACTTTGGCACAGTGATGCATTGTTTGAGAGAAGAACAAGATTTTCTCAACTAGGAAGCATTGTAGCATCCTAGTGGTTCTTGAGAAAGATGGATTTGCCTTAGAGTTACAAATACTTCATTGAGCTAAACAAGAACAGTCCTGGAGCACTTTATGGCCTCAGTTTACATTTTTGTTTCTGGTATGTAAGTAAAATGAATCTTTTGTATTTGCTAAAAGCATGTGGTTTTCATCTATAGTGACTAGTTCAACTAGAAGGTGCTTGCTGTTACAACCTCGAGATTTTTGTATTACTGAACAAAGGGAGAAAAAACCATCAAATTGCCTGAGAATTCTTTCACACCCACTTCAATAGAAAAGTTCTTATGAATGGTATGACCACCTTTAACATTTCACGTACACCATACTCTTCAATGATTTAGAAGCATTTTGAATGCCTGTTTACACTAGAAAGTGTGCAGATGTCATTATTGAATTAGATCAGGAGGTGTTGCAGTTCACATCAGAGATGGCTGATGCAGCCGGGACATTACTAAACTGGAACGCATCATTTCAATCATTTTCCATCATCAGGGATGCATTATTTCTCAAATGAAGAACATTGTTCCTTTTGCTTGTTTTGATGAATATGAGGTTAATTCAGAAAAGGATGAACGGCCAAAATAGAAGTGACTGTGAAAAGTGCCACAAGAACAGCAACCACTTAAGTAGAATTGGGACACAGACTATGTGTTGAAGAATAATGAAGAGATTAAACTTTCCAAGCCCCTCCTTCCCCAACCCATTACAACCCCCAGCATTGATAAATAGAAGTTTGGGTGCAACGTCGGTGCTTGGACTTGAACTATAATTTTGTTATTTCACCCCAAAAAAAAAAAAGAAAGAAGAGAGAGAGAGAGGGGGCTATTTTGGTTTTGTAATTCGTTTACAACTTCATGAAAAAAAATTGGAAAGATCTAAACCTCTAAGAGTAGCTTACTTGGATGAGACTCTGAAGGTCTTAAATGTCACATTATTTCATGATCCCCTCATTTTGCTGTGTATTAAGCACATTATTTAACCAGTGTCAAAGGTTCAGAGCAGTGTATACCTCACAGTTATAAATTTGTTTATTTTGTTATTTTTGCAAATATAATAAATACTAAGTTTTAGAAGCAACCAAAATATGCTAGCAATTTTATAGAATGTGTTTCCCCCACGGTTCATGGTGAATAAGCGGCAAAAAGAGGCAAAAATTATAGATATCCTCAATTTGTACTTTCTAGATATACCACCTTCCCTAAAAAACACAATATCAACCAATCTCAATTACAAAAGTTGACTTTTTGGATCAAAATGTTCTTTTTATTGGCTGCGTTGGCATTCTATAAGCGACTTGTCAAGTCTACAAAGCTTTGCTTCTTGCAGTCATAGTCTTGCAGTCGGCCCATAATGTTTCCCATTTTCTCTTTTTAACCCGGTTTGGAACAACTTGTATAAAGCCGGTCTACCGAATTTTTTGTGCTAGACCGGCTCTATATTCAATTACTGTTACATGACATGGTAGCAAAGGGGTATTTCTATTACAAGTTAACATCCAGTATGATTATATTTTCACAATTCTTTGAATTATTGTACCTCTATAAAGAGAAATACAATTAAGACCCTATCCCGATGTCACCCAAAATACATATTGGAGCTGTTGGGGCAACAATTTAGGTGATGACCATGAGAGAGAGAGAGATTTACTTGGGCCATTCTGAGACAAAAAATGCCAGATTTTGCTAACTTTGGGACTATAGCATAAGTGTTTTTTTAAGTTGTTCATGGAGATGGAGTTTTTTACATGTGGTAGGAATGAAACTCATGATGTCATATACGTTGTGGTTACCTACTATCCTAACCACCTAACCTTGAGCACGATCTTGAATAGTATAAATTGAAAGAACAACTATACAAGGTAGATTTTTGGGGACCAAAATGGTGATTTTGAGAGAGAATAGGTAAAGGAAAAAAGCCTAAATAGTTAAATTAAGGCACTCCTCAAAAATTTACTAGAAGAATATTTTGATGTCGAAAAATCCCCAAATCAATCATCTGGATCTCTAAATGTATAAATATGAAAAAAAAAAAAAAAAAAACAATTTCAAGTCTTGAAAATAGTTGCATCTTGTAATGCATTATCTAGACCATCAATTTTCAATACTTTCGAGTATTTATAGATCTGCTTGATCTATACTATTTTTAAAGCTTTAAATTTTATAATTAGAGATGAAAATAAATTTAAGGCCATCATAAAGAATTTTGCTACTGAAAATAATCTTGACACTATTTAAGGGTACACCTTACTTTTGATTGTTTAGAGCCTCAGCCTTATACAAGTCACATCCATAGATAAAATGGCAGAATAAGAGCAATTAATCATTTGGAATCAAGATCGTATGAGACAGAAATGTAATAAAAAGAAGGGATCTCCCTGTGAAAAATGCAAATTTTTCATTCAAATATTGAACCACTGGAGAATCACTTGATTTTTAAAAAATCATACTATTCACTAATTTTAGGCTAAAGTATCTCAATTTGCTACAGTGAACCAGGCAGATTTCAACAACTCGGGCCAGTTCACTGGTTCGGCCAATCTAGAACTGGTTAATAGGAAAACCCAGGTCAGATCGGGGAAGCATGTGACTTTTTAAAACACTAGAACAAAAATCGTTCCAATTTTCATGTACTCGAGTTTGAAGGCACATAATTTTCCATGTTCAATCCAAGAACATGGATGCAACGCAAATATGCAATTGTATAGCATCAAATAAATTACATTTATACTCCAATATGGAAAAACCAATATGGAAAAACCCAGTCTTCAAAGCAATATCTATGAATAAGTAAACAGCATACTTCTTTTGATTTTCTCTATTTTCAAGGCAGAATTTTGGAAGAGTAAAACTTTCTTTATGTAACTACATATGTGTTGTATTTTCCGCCGATAAAATGATATTTTTCAACAATACCACAATGATTATACATCCCAATCAGTACATTTCCCACCAAAAACCTAGAAAGAAAACAAGAAGACCAAAATCCATGATGGTCGTTTCCTTTACTTGTCAGGATTCTAGCTTGTGCTTCTTTGATTATGGTGTTGATGGTTGCAATATTATGTCCAACGTTTGAATGCAAATGATGAACTACCAAAAAGTTGTCTTAAGGCATTACAAATCCTAGCCATGTTCTTTTGAATGGGGAGCCCTCTTTTGAATGGGGAGCCCTTCCTTGCTCCATGCTTTGAACCTCACAAAATGTCCGTACTGGATCGTCACTTTTCTACACGTTTAACTTCAACCAATAGGGGAAAAAGAAACCATAAGGTTAAAAAATAAAAGAGAAACAAGTAAACTGAATAGTAATCTGTATGTACCTGAAGGAATCATACAGAGACTGAACAATCTATGTAGGAGCGTCTTCTGTTTTGCCTAAATGCTTTTGGATGTCCTTAAATGAGACGGTTGCAGAGCCTCTACTCTTGGCTTTCTGCTGAGAAGGGTGCTCCCTCCATCCAGTCATATAAATAACCTAGAAAGGACACTATGAATATTATAAAAAAGGGACATACTACTAGCTCGAAGGAAGTATCTGATATGAGAAAATGTGAATATTTGACCTGAAAAGTTGCTGGG